TTTCTTTTTCAATTCTTAGACTTAGTAATGACCAGGTGCCCAGGGACTTCCTTCTCATAAAAATGTAGAAACCTGTTTTTCCTAGCCTGAAAATGGTGCAGGTGTATGCTTTTTTTCCTCAGTAGTCTTTACTGATGCTTTGGCCTTTGAATTGAAATAAATTTATGTGAATTATGTTTGGAAAAATTAAGAGATACAGGTCAACATCATTGAGAATCTTCTAACTATATTGATTAGATCACATTGCTGGGGTGAATGGTTTGAAAATGAGGCTGAATATGTGCATGTGACTGCTTTTGACTTGCTCCAACCCAGTTTAAAAGTTGAGGGAATGGCCGGGCGCGGTGGCTCACCCCTGTAATCCCAGCACTTTGGAAGGCCAAGGCGGGCGGATCACGAGGTCAGGAGATGGAGACCATCCTGGCTAACACGGTGAAACCCTGTCTCTACCAAAAATACAAAAAAAGGCCGGGCTTGGTGGCTCATGCCTGTAATCCCAGCACTCTGGGAGGCCGAGGTGGGCGGATCACAAGGTCATGAGATCAAGACCATTCTGGCTAACATGGTAAAACCCCATCTCTACTAAAAAAAAAAATACAAAAAATTAGCCGGGCGTGGTGATGGGCGCCTGTAGTCCCAGCTACTGGGGAGGCTGAGGCAGGAGAATGGCGTGAACCCGGGAGGCAGAGCTTGCAGTGAGCCAAGATGGCGCCACTGCACTCCAGCCTGGGTGACAGAGTGAGACTCCGTCTCAAAAAAAAAAAAAGTTGAGGGGAAATCCAACCTACCTATTGTGCCTCCATGGTGTGATTTTGTTTTTTCACTTAAGTGTATCTGGGGGCACCTTCTGACAGAACTTTACAGGGATAATTGGACTGTTGGGTAAAATTTAGAGTCAGTCATAGGGGTCATTATTTGCCTGTGCCAAGAAACAAAGACCTTGAGGGAAAGAAAGCAGTTACAGTATGTTAAACTGCTCAGCTATTTCTAGTGATTACTTTTCGTTTCTGGGGTTAGGGCTGGGTCTTTACTAGATGTGTACCCACTAGTTAGTGACTAAGTTAGGGGCTATCAAGCTGGCCTCACACAAGCCAGTTGGTTTACATTTAACATTCTTAGGTCTTACATGAAGCATTGACCTGTAGTCCAGGCAGGATGTAGTGAAGTACCTTCTCTTATAATTTCTACTATAAAGCAGTAAAAGTTGTTTCTCATTTTAGGGTCTGGAACAGAATCTGACAGTGATGAATCAGTACCAGAGCTTGAAGAACAGGATTCCACCCAGGCAACCACACAACAAGCCCAGGTGGGTATTCTCTTACTAACTGGTATTGGGTCAAGGAAGCAGGGTTGATCAGGGCAACCTTTGTATTTGGAACTGTGAACCTTCATAAAGGAAAACCCACAAGGAAATTGTGCTATCCAGATCTTGGATTCTGGTTAACTAATACCTGTTTTATCTTCTTAGCTGGCGGCAGCAGCTGAAATTGATGAAGAACCAGTCAGTAAAGCAAAACAGAGTCGGAGTGAAAAGAAGGCACGGAAGGTAAGATTTGAAAAGGATTTCAGGATCTAATGAAGCACCTTTATACAGAATGGAACTCTATTTCCATAGGTTTTTGGGGAACAGGTGGTATTTTGGTTACACGAGTAAGTACTTTAGTGTTGATTTTTGAGATTTTAGTGCACCCATCACCCAAGCAGTATACACTGAACCCAATTCTTAGTAGTGGTAGAATCCTGTTTAAAGTAGCAGAAGTAGCTGGATTGGTGGCTCACACTTGTAATCCCAGCACTCTGGAAGGCCAGGGCGAGTGGATCACTTGAGGTCAAGAGTTCAAGACCAGCCTGGCCAACATGGCGAAACCCCTATCTACTAAAAATACCAAAAAAAAAAAATAGCAGGACGTGGTGGTACGCTCCTGTAGTCCCAGCTACAAAGGTGGTTGAGGCACGGCAGTTGCTTGAACCTGGGAGGCGGAGGTTACATTGAGCCGAGATTGCACTCCTGTACTCCAGCCTGGGCGACGGAGCAAGACCTGTCTCCAAAAATTAAAAAATAAAGTAGTGAAGTTACTGTGGCAGAAAACCCATTGTCTTTTTTTTTTTTTTTTGCAACGGAGTCTTGCTCTATCACCCAGGCTGGAGTGCAGTGGCCGGATGTCAGCTTACTGCAAGCTCTGCCTCCTGGGTTCACGCCATTCTCCTGCCTCAGCCTCCCGAGTAGCTGGGATTACAGGCGCCCGCCACCTCGCCTGGCTAATTTTTTTTTTTTTTTTGAGACGGAGTCTTGCTCTGTTGCCCAGGCTGGAGTGCAGTGGCCGGATCTCAGCTCACTGCAAGCTCCGCCTCCTGGGTTCACGCCATTCTCCTGCCTCAGCCTCCTGAGTAGCTGGGACTACAGGCGCCCGCCACCTCGCCCGGCTAGTTTTTTTGTATTTTTTAGTAGAGACGGGGTTTCACCGTGTTAGCCAGGATGGTCTCGATCTCCTGACCTCGTGATCCGCCCGTCTCGGCCTCCCAAAGTGCTGGGATTACAGGCTTGAGCCACCGTGCCCGGCCTTTTTTTTTTTTTTTTGCCTGGCTAATTTTTTTTTGTATTTTTAGTAGAGACGGGATTTCACCGTGTTAGCCAGGGTGGTCTCGATCTCCTGACCTCGTGATATGCCCGTCTCAGCCTCCCAAAGTGCTGGGATTACAGACTTGAGCCACTGCGCCCGGCCCCATTCTCTATTCTTGTATGAACTTTTCTCAGCCTGGGGAAAAGCTTTGCTTTGGATGTTGTATTATGTTCCTTGCTTCTTTAGGCTGCTTCTAAAGAGGTTGCAAACCTTATACTATTTTCTCTTCTTTAGGCTATGTCCAAACTGGGTCTTCGACAGGTTACAGGAGTTACTAGAGTCACTATCCGAAAATCTAAGAATATCCTCTTTGTCATCACAAAACCAGATGTCTACAAGAGCCCTGCTTCAGATACTTACATAGTTTTTGGGGAAGCCAAGGTGAGTAAACTTTTCTTGGGCATTGTTCTAGACCAGGGTTTCTCAACCTCAGCACTGCTGACATTTTGCCTCTGGTAGTTCTCTGTTATGGAAGGGCTATCCTGTTCATTATGGATGCTTAGCAGCATTACATCCAGTTTTGATTACCCAAAAACTCCATTGCCATGTATCTCCTGGGAGACATAACTACCCCCTAGTTGAGAACCACCGCTCTAAACCTAAAAACTACTCTTTCTACTGCGAGTAAGGGCAAGCAGTTTAAAGCCGTACAATAAGTTACCTGAAGTGGGTTTACAGAGAGTTGTGAAACTATATGATTTATTTTTCAAAGACTGCTGATCTACTCACATGAATCTGTATTCTCTACCCTGTAGATTGAAGATTTATCCCAGCAAGCACAACTAGCAGCTGCTGAGAAATTCAAAGTTCAAGGTGAAGCTGTCTCAAACATTCAAGAAAACACACAGACTCCAACCGTACAAGAGGAGAGTGAAGAGGAAGAGGTATACTAGGAAATCTTTCATATGTTAACTGTCGCCATATAGCAATGTGTTCGTGTTGGTGAGCTATATTAAAAACTAGATTCAGGAGACTCCAAAGAACTGCTGAAATTGTTTTTGCCTTTAATTTCCTGCTTTTTCCCTCTCCTCTCTTAGGTCGATGAAACAGGTGTAGAAGTTAAGGACATAGAATTGGTCATGTCACAAGCAAATGTGTCGAGAGCAAAGGCAGTCCGAGCCCTGAAGAACAACAGTAATGATATTGTAAATGCGATTATGGTAAGTGTTCAAGCCTTTGTTCCTTGACTCCCTCTGCCCTGACCACTTACGAGTGACTTTATTTTGTCTGCTAAATATCAGCCAATTAGGGAACCTCATTCCAGAGCCTCTTCTGAGTTGCCGTAGGTTTTAGTGACCTGAGTTCTCCTGATTTGCCTATAAGAACCGCTAATTATCTTTTCTCTCTTACAGGAATTAACAATGTAACCATCTGAAAGCAACTTTTTTTGGTGTCTCAAAGGAGTAACTGCAGCTTGGTTTGAAATTTGTACTGTTTCTATCATAAATAAAGTTATGGCTTCTTGTTGGATGAACTCAGTCAATGACTGGTCTCTTCCCCGCCCCCCCCCCCCAAAACAAACAAACAAAAAACTTGTAAAGGTTCTAAT